CCCACTTCATATAGTCCGGTATGTTGAAATCGCCCAGTATGAGTAAATTAGAGTTATAGAGACAATATAGAGACATGAGTTAGCAAGGATAATATTGTAATCATTAGAGTTGCATCCTGGAGGAACGTAAATGAGACACAGGTACAATGAATGATGTTTATAGATAATTTTAACAAGTAAAAACTCCATAAGTTGGATATTTTGCAAGTAAGTGACAAGATTATATACGTATGTCTAATTTAGTTGCTTTAATATATCGGTTAATAGCCATTAGTACACCACCTGCTCTTTTGCAGCGAGTAGTTTTGATCTCTGTCTTGTCTAATAACTTGATACAAGTTCAAATTAAAAAGTTCACAGTCCATTACATTATCCTGTATCCAGGTTTCTGTCAATGTGATAATTTTGTAGTAAGAAGTTGAATTAGAAGAATTGAATAGCGATCTGCTTTTAGTATTCAGTCCTCTAACATTGTGGTAGTATTATGCTTAGACTTTTGAAACAGGACGGATGTATTACTATTTTCAGAAACGAATGAGAGGTTTAACTGGTATTTGATAATTTGATAATTATACTATGTGGCATTATTCACAGAAAGCAACTAATTATATACAGGCTGTTAAAAAAAGAAAATTTTCCGGATATTAATATTGTTTTAAAAATTACAAAATATGCATTTTTCAGGTGGAAAGTGCAATCGTATAATTCACATTATAATTAAATGTAACTAGGCTATTATTATAACATGTATTCAAAACAATTGTACAATTTCACGTCGGATGACACGGTTCGAAATAATGTCAACCACATTGATGGTGTATATGTTCAACTAAAAGACATTAGAGTTGGCTGGGGTTATAAAACTGCAGTTGACATTTTGTTCTGCTGTTGGCAAATCACGTGCAAATTATAATTTATAATTTTAGAGTGCAACTTTAGCATAAGTTACCAACTTGTGCAATAATAAAAATGTAAACAATTTCAGTAACAAGAATTTAAACTTCTTAATACTGGAATTGTGGTAAAACTGTTTCAAAGTTACGCCATTTTACAATTTATAAATTTTACAAAATTTAAATTTACAGTTTACAAAACTTTCAGCTTTCTGGCAATGTATATATGTCGATGAAAATATGGCGGCTGAATATAAATCAAAACATGCTTACATGCGTGGTATTCAAAAAGTGCTAAAAGTTTTAAATCGCACTATAGTTCTAATTTCCCTTTTACCCGATGTATCACTATTGGTAATTGTCTTAAATGTACATTTATTGTCTACGTTGATCGTCAATGGTCATTACAACAGCACGGTGTAAATAAACAGAATGGTCAACAGATCGAATGCAATCGTAGTAGGCTATGCGGGCAGTAACCTCTGGGACAGCGAGGTCCATCTCCCTGTCACCGACATTGTACGCACTTAACATATTAATAAAAATAAAATAAATGAAATGTACCTACATCTATACACACGGGATAGTGAAACGAGTCTTTTTTCGTCAATAAAAATTTTTCTGTTACTGAAATTACATCTTCATTTTTAATAACTGCTCGTTCATAATACAAAACGTCCCTCATACAGTCCAGGGTCTAATTTGTAATGTGTTGTTTAATAAATTTTTGAAATGACGTCATACGCTGAGGAGGGGGGGGGGGGCTGTTAGTAACCTGTAGACTTAGTTATCATTAGATAGTATTGTTTTTTGAAATTAATTAATGTCTGAAGGTGATAAATTCAACAATCCAACAATTGAAATCAATTTCTTATTTCATGACCAAGAATGTGAGAAGACATTCGTCAAAATCATGATCCGATCAGCAACATATGGAAAGTATAAACATACTATTAATCCTTTATAATACTCTTAATTTTTGCATATCCAAAAATAAGTGCAACAGATCCAATATCTTTGAAATTATAAGTTATCTTTGTACTTTGGTCAATGGTTTATTTTCATGGTGTGCACTTATTAAAAGAACGATAATTAATTTCTTATCACATTGCGATTTTAATGTGAATCTGCTATTGTTTTAATCTTTCGGTTCTTTAATTAAAACACAGTATTAAGTAACATTGAAATTAAGTAGAACTCTCTTGTTATTCCATACTTCCTAAAATTCAAATTACAACAGATACAGTATCAAAGAACACCACAACGAAACATCATCTCAAAATTTAACCGACGAAAATGAAAAAAGTCGTTCACACAAGTCTGAATTTCGATTTCAACGATAACCAAGACATAACTAAAGATGTTTGCTTAACTCTGACAATTTAAAAATTAAAATCACTGTTTGAATCATCTTGAGCCAGTCTGCGTCCTACGGATTAGGGACCACCATTGATAGATGACAGATAATATTCCTTTGATGAAAACAGTGGCACCACTAAGAAAATGGTTCATAATAAGGAAATAAACGAGGAAATAAAACTTAGCTTGACATAAAAGAGAAAAGTTTTGGTGTTATCCGTTATTGGCTGAAGGGCAGGGACTTGATCATTAAGAACATCGACTTTAAGAACAGTTATTGCTGATAATAGCAATAATTGTTGTAAATGTGACTCCCTTTGAAGTTGGTGTCGTAGAAAATGGTGGTTATTACGTCAGTTAACGCATATCTTTTACACCTACCTTAATTCAGCTGCTCTATATTAGTTTACATCAACATTTAATAGGCTAAAAATACGTAAACCTTACGAAAAATAAAACTGTATTGCCTATTTAGATTTTCCAAAGACTTCTACTCAGATTCAGAGAAGTTTAGTAGAGAAATACCTAACTTATTAAACGTACACATTTCTTCTTTTACATAATTAATTTGCTTTACTCTACCTAAATATAGCAACTCATTTTGCGTAAAAAGTGTTCATTGTTTTTCATGCAAAACCTAGATAAAGTCAAGGCGTCACGTCACGGTAGTTTTCAAAGTGCTTTTCTTGTTCTTTTTGGTCCATAAAAACTTGTACTAAAAAACTGAACAGAACTGAATAGAAATTTTAAGCCTCACAGTTTTGTTTTTATGTCGCTTCTTTAATAGAAACAATAATTATATTGCACAAAAATTAAAATAAGTTCTCTTTTTTGCAGTTCCTGAGGACATTTTATTCCGGTCTTTAGGAGCTTTGAAACAAAATGAGAAAGAATTCATTTTTTCTATGACCTATGTAATAAAAACCATACGAATATGTTTATTAAAATGGCGTCGGCAAAATTATTATTAACTTTAATTAGTGCTTGCACAATCCTGAAACAAACATAGTTTTGCTTGACTCAGCATAAGTGAAGTTTTGTTTTAAACTGCTGACGAACGATACATGCAATATATTTATTTTACATACTGCGCAAAAAGTTGACGAGTTAATTGCAAAAACTTTGGAAGGTAAAATAAATTATATATAGGTTTGCATATATCCACTCATTTTGATTTGTCATGTTCCCCTATGCTTTTTTCACATGTTTAGTGTTCACTTTATATTAACAAAATATTTAAAATATATTCATTTAGTTAAAATCTTATATATTTCAGTATCCATATGTACACTGTAATATACATATATGAATACCGAAACAACTTTCTAGGTGTGTATTATTTATGGAGTAATATTTCTACAACTATAATTCATTTGTTTTCACAATGTGACGAGTGTGAAGTTTCAAATAAACTACTTTCTACACCTAGTTGCATATATGTCACAACACGTGATTCTTAGTTACTTTGACGTATTCAAATGTAATAAGTACAGAAAATAAATATTTTTTGAACAGCCTGTAGGTCATCGGAATATCCGTTTTAACATAGGGTGCAGAAACTGGGGCACAATATTAATTTTTTTTTACTTCTGAGTGTTTATTTGCTACATTTCTAGAAAAATGTGTACAGTCATTGTTGTGGCACTTTTGTTGTAAAGCTCATGTTCTACTAATTCACTAGTTAAAATTATGCAGGTATAGTTCGTCAAAAAAATTAGTATAATATGACTCTTAAGTTAACGAGAAAGCAGTTGCAAATGCAAACAATTATTTCCAATTTTGTAAATAATCTGAAGACGGATCTTTGAGTTCGGCCGCTTCATCAATTATAATTTATAATGGAAGAATCGATCCTTAAAAAAGCAGATAGGCTAAATTGGGGTTCATCTGGTTTATTTACAACGCCCACAAATAATTTTATTCTCGTAATTGTCGCACTGTTTACTTAAAACCCATGTTCCACTAGTTCATTGAACAGGCTATGCTTGTAGAGTAAGGCTTGGCCTATTACCACATTTATTACTTAATTTGGTTGTAAATAGCAACAGTAAAATTAATTTTTCATTGTAGAATGTTTGGGTGATAAAAGTTATATTAGCATACACTTTTTTTTTAAATTTCACAAAATCCAAGATCGTCCCACGAGAATATTTCCCGAGACTTTCTGGAATAACTCTCATGTTTTCAATTAATAAAAGGTTACCTTGGAAAAGAAATTACTTTCTTTTCTCCCATCGCTACACGATATGTGTGTTTCTCAGCTCCGAATTCTGTAGTTACGCAACAAATTTATGTAAGCAATACGTGAAATGCGTATACGAAAGATCTGTTTGGTTTTCTAAAATCATTGGAAGGTATTAGCTCAGTGTACCATGAAATGAATTTTTGCATTTACCGTGATAAGGTGTCACTTCTCGTGATCGATCCATTTACGATATTTTCCAAGTGAAAGATGCTGCAATCCGAATACCAACTCTATAAAAGTAAAACGAAAAATATCTCTCCGGTCCGTATTTGGCAAGATTTGTAGTAAACATAAAAGTCATGCCACAATGTGTAAGCAACGTTTATTACTTGAACATTAATACAGGTGTCAAGTTAGTCTTACTTGTACTTTCGTTGCATAAATTATGGCCTAGAAATTTATTCGGTCGTTAATTATTACTATTGGTGCTAACGCCTACACGGAAGAGTGAAAATTACAAATGACATAAGTACATAGTTAAAGAAGACGCAAGTAAGTAAATTAAGCAGTTTCGTGACCTTTGTTGAGGAAATGTGCGTTAACTGTTAGCACTTGGTTGTTTATAATTCGACAAGTAATTTTCAATGTCTCATTTATGGCAATGACTAAGACAACAAGCAATGCATTATCACTATCTTCACTACCTACTAGTAAGTATTTACCGATTGATCGTAAAATTCTGTACGGTGGTTCCGAACAAAGTACATGCTTGGATCTAATGCAATGCTTTTATCTCGAAAGAAACCTTTTACTACGCTGCAAAATAATTGCGTAAGTTTTAACAATGTGTACTTAACTATTAACCAAGAACACATGGTCTTTATTTGCATAACCTCCATGTTCACGAAAAGTACGCGTGTTGCATAAACATTTATTTAAATTTTTAATTATCACTAGAATGTTATACCACAATCTAAATTATTTTGTACATTTCTAGTTGGAAAATTTCCATAGGAAAGTAGTACCATCAGGTTAACTGTTGACCCCAATAGAAGTATTACATTTCGGCTAGTGCACACCACTGTGAGATTTAGGATTTGAACAATAAGATGAACTTAATTCACCTTAATTCTTCTACATTATTAACGAGTAAGGAAATTCAGCTTGTAATCTAATTGTTCCCATATATTTCATTGTTTTTATTTAGGTACGTGGATTTTGCATTGCAACGATTTGTTTTAAATCTCTTTAAACTTTTTTCATTTAATTTGTATCAATTTTTAATTGTTTTAAATTTTAAACAATTACAATCAATCGAGGGTGGGAAAACAAGTAATTTTGGCTGAGTTAATAAGTTTATGCAAATTCTGATTTCCATGTGCCTACAAAATTTGAACTCTCACCTTTCTATGCGATGCAGTTGTTCACACATAATATACACTGTGATCAACAAGATTGTTTCAGTTGCTATCAATAAATTTTGCTTGAAATTGGTGCTTCACCTCACTTCCTGCTAATCAAAACTGACATTTAATTTACGTCAAAATTTGTTATTGATTGTTATTAAAATGTTATAACCAAACGTTCTAAAACCCTTGAAAGTGACAGCTCCAAACATTTGAAGCAGGTTTGTCAATATTCTGTCAGAACTGGTTAATTCTGTTCCCAACTCAAACAATACTAAACCTGTTTAAACTACGCTGTATGTTTAAACAGTCCTACATAATAGTCTTTACAAATTTAAAAGGGGATACAAGACTGAGTAAAATTCCGAACAATTAAATAGAATACGTTCCAAGAAAAAAGGAATCTAATGTTGAACATTTGGACCAGTTTGTCACACATATACCTATTCATTTTTTCTTAAATAGTAAGAAACAACTGTATATTTAAAAAATCGTGTACTTAATGTCGTTTCTCTCTAATGTTTTTTTCCATTTTTAAGATATTTTAGCATCGAAACTTACTCAGACAGAAATTTTTCGTCCTTGAAATACAGGCCAACAAAATAAATACAGATTCTTCGAAAAATTACAAAATTATTTTTTTAATTTAGTTATTTTTTATAACCTGTAGAAGTTATGATTAAAATATGTTTGGATTGTTAAAATATATGTACATAAAAGAGCATGCTATGTGTATATTTTAAGTGAGATTTTCCATAACAATATTTTTTGATGACGGCATCAACACTTTATCAGGAACACAGATAGCAATTTGAATAGGTGCAGTGTAATACCACTAATAAGAGTATGCTCAAATTTTCAAAACGGGGCGAGTCGTTCTTGATTTGATTAATAAAATATTTGCCTCATTCATAAATTTTTTGATTCACCCTGTATAAGTAACTCTAGAAAGTATGAATACAGTCATAAACCACTAGGACAGATTCATAATACTTTAAATACTTTGGATATAATTTATTCGGCAAAATTTCGAGATAACGGAATTTATTTTTTCCAAGAGAATAAAAAGCAATAAAAAACTCGATCAAAGACAACCATAGATTTTTGAAAGTTTTTCTTTGATCGTTATATTTTAAGACGAAAATTCTATCAAAGACAAATCTTCAAAAATCCATGGCTGTGTCTGATTGTGTTTTTTATTTGTCTTTCGGTATTACTATTTTGATTGGAATATAATATGGGCTATTTTTCAAATAAAGGATATTTCTAATAGTAATAATAATAATATTGGTCATGGTTTTGATTTTTGAAACTTCTTCTCTAAACAATCTTTAATAATTGAACTGAAGTACAAGCCACGTTATCCTAGTGAACTAAAACACAGTTATTTTCACTTTTTTAAAACTAAAAGTGTTATACACTGAGTTTTATGATGATTTTAAACAGATTTTATTTTGCAGGTTCTGTAATGCCTAATTTATTTATTTTATAGGCATTAGTTTACATTCGAGTGATTAATTGAGGTGAAACATCTCGCATATTTAATGATGTGGTGTAGCCTGAAACATAACCATAAAGAATACGGTGAAGATAAAATTTATAGATACTTAAGACTAGTACAAGATTACGTATTTTGAAAATATGTATTACAATTTAAAATTAAGTTATCGTAGATATACATTTTGAAATAAATATCATTCTCCAGTGTTTATGAATTAATAAATAAGTGATTAATTTTTATAATAAATTTACATTGTTTTATTTTATTTTAATTTTTTGCATGAAATCTAGTTATCTTAAGTTTGATTCTCTTCTACAGTAACAAAAAGTACAGTCTTTACAATAATGTGTATATTGTAAAACCAACAACATAACTGAAAGCCAAAAATTTCAAGAAAATTAAATGAAATGAACTGGATAAAATAAATAATTTCATAAAATAATTTTTTGCAAACATTCTTTATAAGTTATTCTTAGTAATCTATAGCATATGACCAAAACACGAAAAATATAAAATCTCAGAGAACGATTTTTTTCACAAAGTTACATAACATTTCTTGAAATGACGTCGTTAAGTCAGTTGCCCGGTGCGTTTATTCAAATGTACTGAAAGAAATAAGGGGACTAACAGTGAGGTGAAAATGAAATTTGGTGCCAACATGATGGGTGTCCTGCGCGTTCCAAACAGGAAGTCTGCGAATATTTAGGTAGTGTATTCCCAAATCATTGGATAGGTCGTGGTGGTACAATTCATTGGCCTGCAAGGTCACCAGATTTGGCCCCAAATGATGGGGTTATTTGCATGACCTTCTGCAGTCAGGTAGAACCCACAGAGACTTGGAAGAGTTGAAACCTGCTGTAATTCAGAGATCAATTCAGATAACCTGCCAACAATTGGCCCAAGGAAGAATATTTTTCTATACCTGGTATAGTCAACGGAGATCTACTTGTGCATCTCATCTGATATTACTTTTGTATTTTTGTTGTGTGAATACTGTGCTATATTGACAAATCTCCATAACGTATATCAGATATTACTTTTATCCTAATAAAATTTTATAAAGTTAAAATGACATAATTGCAGTGCCAACAGTGAATTTTTTGAATTTTTGAAAACCTTTTTGAATTCTCTACAAATTTTGTCCTTACTAAATTGCTATAAAATCATCAAGGGACAACATAGTGCCTCATTTGCGTGAATGCGATAAGCAGTCTTCACGAACTTGTTGTGTACAATATTTGTTGCAACCAATAAATTTTTAAAATTAAAAGATTAATTGTGAGTTATTCATAGACAACGAAGTTGACAGGGCTCTCAACACATCACAACGTTGACACTTCCAGGCTACTTTTAAGTTACCATGGCAATGGAAAGTAAAAAGCACGTGTGTACGAAAATAATTTTATTTTTTTAAATTTAGAATTTTGCCACTTGTAGGAAAACCACTATGCAAGGTAGCGGCAGAAGTATTTCTTTTCCTGCGCAAAAAATCGAAAGGAAAAAGTAGTCTGAACATACGCACATAAAGAAAAGAGTGCATAAAAAAAAAGCAAACACTTACAAATACGTAACAAAAGACGACAAAAAAATGTTTGATAAAACAAAATAGTCTTCATAAAAAATAAAAAAAATGTTAAAAAAACAACGCCCAATTTAAAATTAATGCACAATTCTAACCTTTAGGTTTCTTCTTCTGCTACAATTTAGCGAATCCCCTCATCTTCATTTACGAACCCACTGCAACAAAAACACATGAAATTTTTGTGTACACAAAGAAAAATACCTTTGAAGTTAACATCAACTTTATACATACTAATTTTAAATAACACGTTACACAGGTTTAATAAATAGATGAGATTTAAAAAGTACTAATCAGAAAAAGTTTTGAAACCACAATATAAATTCTAAGCGGAATTTTATATTTACCTCTCGCGATTCTTGGTGAAGCTAAACAGAAAAAAATCTATAACAGACTCAAAATACACCGAAAAAAGAGTTTCGGAGAATATTTGCCTAAAAATTCGCTAACAAACAGATACAAACAGAAAATCGATATTTTCACTCGATAAACTGGAGAATGTCCTGAGTAAATAAGAAATGAAAGTTTAATAAAAATAACCTCGTACACTACGTTTGGAAATTAAGAACATTCTAAAGTTAATTTAACTGAAGCTTCAATAAACACTCCCCAATAAACTTTAAACATTGAAGATGACTGTTTTCAATTAAAATGATTCTCTGAAACGTTTTACTGATTTAGTGAACTCCTTTTAGTTGTAGTTAAGTATGTCCCAAATACAAAAATATTTTCAAAACAATTCTGAAAAAAAAAACAATAACGATTGTTGCAGTGAACAATATTATTAATTGCAGTGATGCGTAAAACATAAAGAGGTAAAAATCAAAATTGGATTCAATTTTTAAATATACTTAACTAACATTGTTAAAAACGCATTAGATATTCCAACTTATTTCAGCAGAAAAGCCCAGTTTGAAAGAATAAATATCTGACGAGATATTAACGTTTGAGTTCTCGTTGAAACAAACATATTTATTAAGTCGTTAAGCACCCGGTTTATACAATACAACTACAGTTTGGAACAAAAGAACTAAATGCACAATACATTGAATAATAGACTGATACGTGAAGCCTAATAGCAACACTTACCCTTTAAATCCTGGTTTCCTTTCCTTTCGCGCCGATCCTTGCACACTACTTCGTCATGGGCACATCACAACACTCACCTTTCACTTTAAACCCTAAATTAAATTGTTTTTAACAAAAATAAACCACTTAAACAAC